TGACTTTTAAATAATAGTGATATTTTTAGATATTTAATCTTAAAAACCAAAGTCATCAAGGTGTGGGGAGGTTGGAGGTAGGTCAAGGTCATTATATTTAAATGTGCCATAATGAAAGTCTTGGCCAAAAGTATGTTGTGTAAAAGTATGCAGGCTTTGACATTAACAGTGGACTCTCTTATGATGAAACTAAGAAAGGATGAATGAACAAGAACATGAATCAACTCTTTACTATAGTCAAGTAATCATCAGTCGGTGAGGAAAAGGTAAAAACTGTTTGAGATATAAACAGATGTAAATCATGTTAAATCGGTAAAACATATTAGAGTATAAATATTCACAAATAATTGCTGGACCTTGACAGAAGGGGTGTGGCTTAGAATTCCAACCTTGAAGATAAATTTGGTAACAGTTTCTATTTTATAATATTTTTAAATAAACACATAATCTCTGATTTACAACTTTGTATTTATTAAAATTAAAATAGTTATGCTGGTAAATATTTACAATCCATTTAACATAGATGAAAATAACATCCCAAAATAAAGAAAGAAATTGAACAGGTTTTTAAATTTAATGCATGTTTTGTTATTTTAAACTTGGTTTAACTTCATTCATTAAGCCAAAAAAAGGGGTTAACTTATTTTTTTTTCAAAAGCATTTTTTGGGTTTCAGTTACAGTCTACCTAAAAACCACTCATATGCCATATAGATGAGCTATATTTTGTGTTTCTTTTTTGCATTTTTGTAATAAGTACAGTTATAACTTATAGTGATTTAGTATCCAAATACTGAATTTGCTTACATTTTACTACCTTTATCACATTTTTTTTCACATTCAGCACAATTTTCTAATTAATCATTTTACATCCTACATAATTATATTCTTAATCTGTTAATACAACATTATAAAACACATATTTGCTTTTTGTTCAGAAAAAAAATTTCATTCCTGAGGTTTTAATTTGCCTTTAAGATTATCGACTGATAGTAAGGGGTGTGGCGGAAGTTATTAAAATAGCATTCATAAATTTTTTATTTGCTTAATGTCATAAAATATATTAACTAGCATAAGAGCGATAGCTGGACCATGTTTTTTTTTTCATCTATGAAAATTTCCAAACCAATGGCAATTAAATTCGGAGAAAATTTAAATTGTGTCCAGTCAGTCTGTAGCACCAAATACCTCAGGGTAAAATGTATATAGATTGTCAACTGAGATTTTCTTTGATGTCACTTTATAATTGTAAAAATGTTTTGAATTGTTAGCCAGAAATCATTTCATTTTATTCAATAATATTAAAGAAAAGAAAGAAAGAAAAATAACTCTTTTGTATTATGTTCTCAGTTTATAATTCTAAGGTACACAACATCATTATTAGAAATGCATTTTCTCTTTATGAGTTATAAGTCTTTAATTGTTGATTTACATCTTAACTTATGTTTAAAATAATATTTTACTCAAGCATAGTTTTGCATAATTTTGGAGTTATTGCCCTTTGTATTTTTTTTTATACTAGAATTTAGTTCAGGACATGATTATGCCCCCATTTCGAAGAAAAGGGGGTATATTGCTTTGCACTTGTCGGTCCGTCGGTCTGTCGGTCCGTCGGTCCGTAGACCAAATGGTTTCCGAGTGATAACTAAAGAACCCTTAGGCCTAGGAACTTCAAACTTGGTATGGTGATTGGTCATGACCAGTAGATGACCCCTATTGATTTTGGGGTCAAGGGGTCAAAGGTCAAGGTCACATTGACCTTGTAAGCAAAAACGGTTTCCAATCAATAACTAAAGAACCATAAGGCCTAGGAACTTCAAACTTGGTATGGTGATTGGTCATGATCAGTAGATGACCCCTATTGATTTTGGGGTCAAGGGGTCAAAGGTCAAGGTCACATTGACCTTGTAAGCAAAAACGGTTTCCGATCAATTACTAAAGAACCTTAAGGCCTAGGAACTTCAAACTTGGTATGGTGATTGGTCATGATCAGTAGATGACCCCTATTGATTTTGGGGTCAAGGGGTCAAAGGTCAAGGTCACATTGACCTCTTGGGTAAAACGGTTTCTGACAAATAACAAAAGAACCCTTAGGCCTAGGAACTTCAAACTTGGTTTTATGGTGATTGGTTATGACCAGCAGATGACCCCTATTGATTTTGGGGTTAAGGGGTCAAAGGTCAAGGTCACATTGACCTTGTAGGTAAAAACGCCTTCCGATCAATAACGAAAGAACCTTAGGCCTAGGAACTTCAAACTTGATATGGTGATTGGTCATATGATCAGTAGATGACCCCTATTGATTTTGGGGTCAAGGGGTCAAAGGTCAAGGTCACATTGACCTCTTAGGTTAAAACGGTTTCCGATCAATAACTAAAGAACCCTTAGGCCTAGGAACTTCAAACTTGGTATGGTGATTGGTCATGACCAGCAGATGACCCCTATTGATATTGGGTTAAGGGTCAAGGGCAAGTTATATTGACCTTGTAGGTAAAAATGCTTACAATCAATAACTTAAGAACCCTTCAAACTAAGGAACTTCAAACTTGGTATGGTGATTGGTCATGACCAGCAGATGACCTAGTTGATTTTGGGTCAAGGGTCAAAGGTCAAGGTCACATTGACCTTGTAGGTAAAAATGGTTTTCGATCAATTAACTAAAAACGCTTAGGCCTAGGAACTTCAAACTTTGTATGATGATTGGTCGTGACCAGCAGATGACCCCTATTGATTTTTGGATCAAGGGGTCCAAAGGTCAAGGTCACATTGACATTGTAAGTAAAAACGGTTTCTGATCAATAACTTAAGAACGCTTCGGCCTAGGAACTTCAAACTTGGCATGGTGATTGGTCATGACCAGCAGATGACCCCTATTGATTTTGGGGTCAAAGGTCAAGGTCACATTGACCTTGTATGTTAAAACGGTTTCCGATCAATAACTAAAGGACCCTTAGGCCTAGGAACTTCAAACTTGGTATGGTGATTGGTCATGACCAGCAGATGACCTATTGATTTTGGGTCAAGGGGTCAAAGGTCAAGGTCACATTGACCTTGTAGGTGAAAACGGTTTCCGATCAATTAACTAAAAACGCTTAGGCCTAGGAACTTCAAACTTTGTATGATGATTGGTCATGACCAGCAGATGACCCCTATTGAGTTTTGGGTCAAGGGGTCAAAGGTTAAGGTCATGACCAGTAGATACTTGATAACCCTTATTAATTGTTTGATCACTGGGTCAGAAGTCATGCATAATAACCTTATCACATGACTAACTGGCTGCAGATAGGGGGCATACATGTTTTACAAACATATCTTGTTTTTTAAGAAAGTACTGGTATTATCATCTTGAAATTCCTTAGAATATTTAGCTTGATCTAATTCAGGATGAGTGTAGTGCCCAAGAGACAACTTTCATTAGCATTATACTTGAGTTATTGCCCTTAGTTATTTTTCCTTATGCTTATTTTGCATTATTTTGTTGTTGTTTTTTTTTTACATCAGAAACGGCTACATCACATAGAGGAGAAATGTATAATCCTTAATTTAAAAACTATGGTTACTTCTCTTTTCTATTTCGAATGATTGCACATCTATTCAAAAAAAATTTTTGGGACGTCCACGGCAGAGTGGTTATAATAATGTCTTTGACTTCAAACAACTTGCCTCTCACCGCTGTAGGTTCGAATCCCAACAGGGACTGTGAGAAATATGTTGGTATGTTGTGGGTCTACTCAGATGCCCAGAATGAAATATCACAGGGAAGGACACCTGAGGTCTTCCTCCACCAGTAAAGCTGGAAAGTCGCCATATAATCTTTACTTTGTTGGTATAACATAAAACCCAACAAGAACATCAAACTAAAGCCTTGTCCAGATCATAACTATGTAATCAACATGAAACTTCATTGTACCCAATTGTCAATGTTGCATGCGAGGGGCATACTTTTAATAACCTGAACAGTGGCAGTTCTAGTTTAAGAATATTTTATGAATTAAAAATTTTGTTTTTAAAGTGACATTATGCTCATTTTTTTTTTTTTTTCATTCAAGTTCACCTGAATTGACTGTATATTTCAAAAGATTGACTGTTATAATGGTGATTGACCAACATTTGATACTGGAAAATGTTTTAGATAAAATTTGCCTGAAATATATAAAGACTGCCCCACTCTTTTTATAAATTGAATGTTATTGATAAATTTGGATAAATATTTACAGAAATTTCCTTGGGCCACACAAGTTATATATTGTTCATGCAAAGTAAATTATAAAATTGAAAAGAATTAAGTCAAAATGTAAACTTATTTTGACTTTCATCTGTTCACTCACTATATACCCTGAGATAGGTATAATGATACTTTAGCCTAATTAAAATGTGAATGTTTTCCGTCATTGAAGTTTATAAAACATAGAAAATATTGCATTCTTATCTAATTCTTAATGATTTTTTCAATTTTTTCATGATTTCAAAGAATGATCATCATTTTAAACTGTTTCTGTGATCAAATGTCTGATTGTAGGACTGTGCATTTTATATGTTTTAAAAATGAGAAAAATGACAAATTTTCTCTCCTGTTAAAACAAAAAAAGAGAGAAAAGAAATGGTAATAATGATGATGTTGATAATTAACAAATTAGATACTTGAAATGAATTAGTATTTGTTTAAGGGCCAAATTGATGGGTAAATGTGATGGGTAATAAAGATTATAAAAGAAGCATAGGTATTTTTGGGGAAACAAATATTTCTTTTACACTTTCCTGAATCAATCAAATTTGTACTTGTATATAAAACAGCTACATGTTGCTTAATTCATGTTATTAATGATTTTCATTCACCTAAACAATATTGAATGGCTGGAAACATTTTCTATTACTGTTAATGTAAACAGATGTTATGTTTTGACGAGCATGGCATACAAATGTTTTGGATTAGTAAATAAAACTCATAGGATATTTAGGATAACACCGAAATTTCAATATATCGTGTTTATTTTTCACGTAGGTATGCGGCAAGTCCAGCAACTGATATGGTGGATTAAAAAAGTAAAGTGGCGAGTGACAGATTTGTTATCGGAGGTATTCCTACTTATCGCCATGAAGTCGGGAAAGTCGTCTTCGGGCGACTTTACTGGGGTCGACATGTTGATGGACAACACAAAACTCCTTCCCGCGACAAAATCGATCATCATCAACCGGAGCGATGACATCACAGATAAAGGCTTGATGAACCCGAGGGCGATGACATTTCTCGTATTGTGGTATTTCTTCAGTTTCTGTACACTCTTCCTGAACAAGTATATACTCACCACTCTCCGTGGCGATCCAACAATGCTGGGTATGTATAAGTTATTTTTACGACTTTCCTAATAGTTGTTAATATAGCTTTACAAGATTTTAAAGGAACTCCACTAAGGTAATAGGTCTAAAAAGCAAAATTGTTAATTTCTTACGTAAATCAGCTGGGACACATAAAACAGAAAAATATGCCAAAGATAATTAAGACACATGATCAGAAATAAATTGGAAATGACGTTTTTGTTAGCCCGATTGGATTGAAAAGCATTGCAATACTTTGCAATTTGGGTAAATTTTCACTGTTTAAACTGGTATTCTGGAAAAACTGAGTCAGCGAATTATCTAAAATTTTGCACACGGGTTATTGGTCTTGACCAATATCAAATTGAACATTTATCTTGAATAATTATTTCCAGTCCTGTCATGTCAAATAATATCTGTGGAGTCCCTTTAATGGTGATATACATTATAGTTATTTATGATACAGTATTATTACAGATTAATTTATTGTAATTATTTGTATGCAAAATAAATCTTTCACTTTTGTCTTTTGATTAAACAACAACCCAAAGATAGTACCACCTCACTGACATAAAGAAATAAAGTGGTTTGTTTTATGGATTAAGCTTACACGTGAAATTGTGGTGTCCATATAAGATAAAAACAAAAATATACACAATGTATAGTAATAGGTACATTTTTTCCCCTTGATAATTTACTTCAATTCTGTATCTTGAAGTAGCATGATTGTGTGTTGCTGTTTTAGGTACCATCACAAATTAATGTTCAATAATTTTGCAGTCTGAAATTTTCAATGATTTTTTTTGTCAGGTGCGATGCAAATGGTTATGACGACGACACTTGGGTTTCTACAGATGTATTTACCTCTAGGATTTTATAAGGCGGTTAATAGAGAGGGAAAACCTCCAAACTTCTGGAGAAATATGATAGTAGTAGGGTCCATGAGGTAAGTAATGATTTTATCTTTAACCCTAAGTCTCCTGGTGGCAACCTTATCTGTCTGTGTGACTCATGCAAGCCTCAATTGGCTGGCAAGTCCATGCTGTCTGATCAACTACTGCACAGGTTGCTATTTAGCCAATACTTATTTTGAAAAATTTCCCCTAAAAAAGATCTATGGTGATGTCCAGAATGAGAGACAGACAAGTCCATGTAAGATATTTTGTGGGGTAATTGTTAGACAGATTTTCCTAGGATTTCAGTGCATTTTTCAGTCCAGTATGCAGTGAGTACTTTACTGAGGATTTCCTACATGATTTTTCAATGGATTTTGCCATTTTGATGGATATTAATGAATTTTAATCTTGTACATATGTATATATGAAGTGATTCTATAAATGTATTTATATGGATTATGTAATTAGGCTTCCCTGGTACAGAGAGTAAGGTCATTGACTTTCAACTGCTTGCCTCTCACTGTTATAGGCTTTTAATCAAGCAAGGGACTTTGATTTTTTCATGTGAGAGAGCTTTCTAGCTAGATTACAGGACTCTTCCAGTTTTTTCTCTATAGGCCGCTTACATCTGAAATAATGTAGGGAGGGACACCTGATGTCTTCCTCTACGAGTTCAGCTGGAATTTAAGTTGTCTCACAGTGTAGGTATGACTAAAATACTAACAACAACAAAAAATTTGTTATAGCATAAGAAGTGATAAATTGGAAATATTATTTGATTATTAATGTACACTTAATAGAACATTCTTCTCTATTGACAGGTTTGCCACCAGTTGTATTAGGGGCGGTTGCGTTTAAAAAATATGTAGGGGAGTTGGGCATTTACAAGACGATAAAAAAATTCGGCACCAAATTTAAACCCTCGGTAAAATCGTTTTATGAAAAATTTCGAGAGTATACTGGGGTATTTTTCGATCTTTTTCTTATTTCCAAACATTGTTCGGCCTAGGACTTTTTTCAGTTTCGAACTAAATTTTTAAAATTAGGGAAATTTTCGGGAAACTTTAGCCACTTATTACAGAATGGTAAAAGGGTTTTTTTTCTTCTGACAGCAAATGAAATAAAGAAATTTCTCAGTGAAATATTTTTTATATCATTCATTCTTCATCACTCCTAGGAGAAAAAATGAAGAACCATCAAAATTTCATATATGTTTTATGATAGATATTTCACTATATTCTTGGAGATATTTTCCATATTTATTTAAACAAGTATTCTTTATTATAAGTGTCATTCATATATTTTATTGACCATGTTTTAAGATAACTTTGAAAGTTCAGAAATTATAAAATTTAAAATTAATCATATTTACACCCACATGGACAGAATAATGTTATCTGCAAAAAATGTTGCTTGCTTTATTCTGAATTTTATCCAATTTTCTTAGTGTTTACAAAATGTTATTGTTAAACAGCTTATCAAATAAGAAGCTGAGGTCCTTGGCATCTAAGCTTTTTGCAAAGGCCACTGTGATTGGTCTCATTAAGGGTTAAAAAAAGTATTTCGTAACTTAAAAGCCACCAACAACTGTGTCAAGTTTCGTGCTTTTCACAAGAGGTGCACAATTAGCCCTTTTATGCACGGATTTTTTGGACTACATGGAATAGCTTTATTTTGTCATCAAAGGAAGCTAAGCTATCATGTTAACTGACAGATTGATGGTTCCACATACTCAAGTATATATATCATGTTGTCCTTAGTGTCTTTTCCCAGAGCTGTATTAGGAGAAATCTGGTTCAATTTAGGAAATTTAAAAAGTTGAAAAACTACCTTATACTTGATTTTTATGTTTTATTTATATGTATGATCATATATCTTGTCTCTTCATGTCCAAATTTTAGTGAAGTTTGGAGTAGTTTGATATTTTTGGCAGCTGTTTGTGTGGAAAAAAACACCTCATCCCAAACTAGATACATTAGCAGGAATTGATTAACACAAGCAAACTTTCAATTTTCATTGTTATATCTTGTCATTTTCTAAACCATGAATATTTGATGTGTAACCTACCTATTGTAATGTTATTTTCATTTTCTATTCACAGCTTACAGAATGTATATTCTAAAATGCTCATAAGCGGAGAAAAATACAGATATACGTAAGTAAACATGCTGTTATGGTTTTATCAATGGTAGTTTCTTTTTTAATGTGACATTTAGTGTCTTTACCGTGTCAAACCTGCCATTGTTTAATCAAAACTTTAACTTTACATGATTGGCTATATTGATCACTATAAACAAATGTCCTTGAACAAAATTTGTTTACTGCAGTGAAAGAAATTTATTGTTGTTTTTCCATTTTTCTGGGTGTATGTGTGTTGTTTTTTGTTGTCGTTTTTGTGTGTGTGTTTTTACCTTTCTTATGGCATAATAAAGGAAAATTTCTAAATTTTCTTTATTGAGGTTTGTAAAACCAACCTCACTGAAGAATAATTTATTAACCTCATTGAAGATGGTTTAGTTAAACCTCATTGATGATAGCCTTTTAATTTGATGAAAGTAGTGCTTTTGACCTCATTGAAGAAACACGATTGAAGAGAATTTATTGAAATTATCTAATCTAATTGATAGTGGGCTTTAATGCTGCATGCCTCCAGATGAGCCAAAATATTTGAAGAAAATCTAAATTGAGAAATGTACTAAGGCCATCCTTAAAAAAGTGTTTGTTTGCAGTAACGCGACCGACTCACAAAATTTGCCCCTACTCAAATTTTTTTTTTCATGGTCTGGATAAAAAAATTTTTTTTGAATCAGAAAATTATGCCTTGTGCTTTGTTTTTGTTCTTTTAAAGGTTAATAGAAGAAATAAAATGTAGTTCTTATTAAATTAGAATTCAGTTATCAGTTTATTAATTGTTACCAGATTATCAAAGCATATATTGTCCAGCATTTTTGAAATTCCATGTTTATTTGGGAGTACAGTTCAATAAAAAAAAAAAAATCGACCTACCTACCCACCTTGAAAATTCTGGGTCGGGTTACTGCAAACACACATTTTTTTAAGGATGGCCTAAGCTTCTAGGACAAGTAAAAAGATTTAAGATTCAAGTAATAATTTAAAATTTTCATGAAAATATGCATGAATCTGGAGCCATGCTGCTTTAAATTTTATGAAGGTCCTTCGCCCTAACACTAGGTTTATCATTATTATGAATTTATGATACTGAAAATGTGTTGTTGATTATGATGTATTGATGACGATAATTTTCATATCATCAAATTTACATACAAGTAATATCTTCTTACATTTCTTTTATTTCAGACCGGCAGAGTTGCAGTTTTTCACAAGCATTTCATCAGTCATAGTTCAAATTCCAGCCTGTTTCTTTATGATAGACTTTCCATACGCTAAACAAACATTAGATATGACAATGCTCACTGCGTTAATATTAAATGGAGTGTTCTTTCATTTTCAAAGTATATCAGCATATGTTTTAATGGGATATATATCACCTGTTACACATAGGTAAGTAATTTTGCTTTTTCTTGATGACGGGGGTCTGAGGGTGAGATAGTAAAGAAGTATTTTAAGTTTAAACTTAGAGATCACACATTTGATTGGTCAGAAACCAGCACAAAATTTAAACTGACCAATGAAAATCTCCAGATTCTAGACAGAGGTTTGATAATGGTTTTATAATATGGGGGCCAGATTTTTCAAAATTATTATAATCTGGAGGCCAGATTTTTCAAAATTAGACTTTCCTTACAACAGATAATATCTTTCGGACAGTTGGTTGAGTGGTTAAGGTTGTTGACTTCAAACAACTTGCCCCTCACAGCTGTGGGTTCGAACCCAGACAGGGATTCTTTGATGTATTGAAGGTATCCAGCTAAATTACAAAATGTAGGTTGTTCTACTCAGGTGCCTGCCTTGCCTGAAATGCACAGAGGGGCACCTGAAGTCTTCCTTCACCAGTAAAGCTGGAATTTCATTATATGATTTATACTGTGTTGGTGCCAAATAAACCTAACCAAAAAAAACCCAAAAAAACCCAAACTTTTAATTAAGTAAATTTATATGGAAATATATGCATGTTTATATGCAGATATATGTTTTTGTAATACTGCACATATTAACCCTCATTTTCTTTGGATAATAGTGACGTTACTGTAAACTATATAAATGGTTATATGGCTGTATATAAATGTTTGTTTACAATATAACCATCACTTAACAGATTGGGTTATATATGCAAACAGCCATTCATATAGGGCCATATTACCCATCAAAAATCATTAAAAAAAAGTTATATTTTTGTTTATACAGAATTTGTTTTAGTTTGATTGTGTAGGAAGCTATTAGCTTATAGGTACACTTTAGAATCCGTTTTTGTAACCAACCAGTACTGAGCAATGAGTGTAAAGTTTCTTGCTCACGGAAACAAGGGCTTCCCCCCTGACAGGGTTTGAACCCATGCGACTAGCGATGATTAGATTACTAGTCCAACACGTTAACCATACGGCCTTTAACCTTAAAGTGCTGGAACCGAAAGTGTTAAGCCTTTGCCACCAGTATAGAGCCAGGCCAGCCTGCACATCCGTGCAGTCTGACCAGGCTCTATACTGTTGGCTAGCAAACTTTAAATATTCAAATTGATATCCCTAAAATTGATAATGGACAGTCCCAAAAATGATAGTGAGACAAGTCCATTTAAAATATTCAGCATGTTCATCATTAAAACTAAAATGTTCTGTGTATTGTACAGGTATAATATAATATTCATTCTTGTTACAGTGTGGCAAACACAGTGAAGAGAGCTTTTCTTATCTGGTTATCTGTGATAGTGTTTGGAAATCCAGTGACATTCCTTAGTGGGTTAGGAACAATTACAGTAACTATTGGTGTGTTGTGTTATACTAAAGCCAAGGAGTATGATGGCGCCCGGCTTGCCTTAAAACTTGCAAACGATTCCGAAATTCAGGTGAAAAGTAAATCGAACAATGCAAGAATAGGAAATGGGAAAGTTCCAGTTTGATTAAAGCTTTACATAGGTTTTTTTAATGAAATAGTGTGAACATGTGTAAATTTATATGTATATTTTGCATTTTTAAAAAAAAAGTAAATTATTATCTTTTTTTAGTGGTTGTTATCTTAATTGAATGATAATTTTTTTATGAAATGATAATTATCATGTGGGTTTAGTAGTTGGTCACTTGCGGAAAAATTGGTATCTACAGGTTAGTTGTCACGGAAACCCGTAAATATGGATGGAGCACCAAGATTTCACAAAATAATATGTTAAAATCGGCATAGAAAAACAAACAGTTGTCTCTTTAATCATATCGTCGTTGGGGGGTCAAAATCTCGTATAACAGTTTTTGCTACTTTTCAGGAGGAACATTTTTTTGATTTCTTTCTTTCTAAAAGAACCTTCTGTGGAAACAATTCCTGTATAGTGGTAACATGAATAGTACGTTTTAATATATAATTGATTTTTATGAGTTGGTTTGATCAGTTTTGACATATAGAGTGTACGACAATTTGACCTTAAAAAATAGCATATACGACATTTTGACCATAAGGGATAATCAAAGAAGTGCATTTATTTAGAAGTAGAATAACAATATAATATCATTTTCATGAACATTGTTTTATTTTTAACAACTTGAAACCTTGAAGTATTGATATTTAACTTGAACAAATTAAACAGAGTTGGTTAATAAACTGTTAACTTTTGACATAACAATTGAATTAAACATCAACTTTCCTCAGTCTTTTTATGCATTCACACACACACACACACACACACACACACATACGCACGCACGCACGCACACGTACGAACGCACACTCGCGACGCGCACACGCACAGACGCACACGCACTCACTCACTCAAATCTTTAAAACTTTGAAATTCAACTTGAACAAATAAAACAAACAAAATTAATTAACTTCATTATTGACTGAAACATCAATCTTTCTCAGTCTTTAAATTCACTATTTATGAATTTAGTACTTTTTACTTCAAATGAATAAAATGGCACTTTCATATTACTGTCAAGAGAAAATTATAGTTTAACTAAGGTCCCATAACGAAACACCTGTATACATTTCGTTTTCATGTTTTTAAGAATCATGTTTCAGGTGGTCATAAAACCCATGATAATCCATTGGAAGAACACTTTTAAGTGCCTGTAAATGGTCGAACTTCGTTTTCTTTATCTTCAAAGGACCACCGTGCAACTTTGGTATTATCTCTGTATGTTTAACATAAGATTTTCTAGATTTTCTTGGAAGTTCCTTAAATGAGTCTCTATAATTCAATTTATAGCGTACAGAACCATCTGCTTCGTAGTGAAGAACTCTAATGTCACTAACCACTGGGTCTCCAACCCTAGTCCCAGGTCTAATTGAAACATAGTAGCCCAACTCCGAGTATGCTTTGAAAAAATCGTAGCCAACGTATTCAACGATATATGGGTTAGAGGGACAGGCTTCCTTGATGAAGTCAACATACTGTTGTGGCACATAAACATTCTTGTTCTTTATTTTCCTCTCCACTACGCTGTGTACTGAATCCACCTCCATTTGAGTATGGCCTTTTTCGAGGATCTTTTGTGTGATTTCAAGGTCAAGAGTCATAGCCAAGTGACATAAAGTGTTTGACATTACCAAGTTCCTATTTTGATAGGTACATCCATCACTATATATAATGATGTGTTTGATTTCTTCATCTTTGGAAATCATTTTTTCAATGTAGTCAGCCAAGCAAGTAGCAAAGGAATTAGCCAAAAGATCCCCCATTCCTTCATGCCAAAAGTAGCAGGTCGCCTGCTTCGTTATAAGGTCATACAAAGTGAAATTATGGCATGCTAATTTGGTTTTATAATACAATGCGCTTGCATTCATTTTTGGCGAAAGTAGAACTGCTTGTACGTCCATTGTAAGAACTTTCACTGAGTGGTTTGTTTGACAAAATAACTTGTCACGGTTTTTCTCCTCTCGTGAATTTATTTTTCTATTCTGATGTTCGTTGTAAATATCAGCGGATATATTACCTGCATCAAAACCTACACAGATATCACACTGGTCCTTTTTTTGGCACAAATAGACCAATATTTAGGCTCTCGAAAACTTCGGTAAATACTCTACGACTCGCACATACCCTTTCATTACAATGTTTCACGTATTCTTTATACAAGCAGGTCAGAGAGTTAAATACAGGTTCAAGGTAGGTCTTCGAAGTCGATGAACGGCAATAATGAGATTCCATTCTAGGGATGCTTTCAAGAAATTGCTTGACACTCATACGTAGCTGGCCGTGTCTTTCTTCTTGAGCTTTCTTTCTTGTATCTGAAAAAGAAAGGCATCAAATATCTTTTATAAAGTGCTAACAACACATTTAATATTTCAGTCAATCACTCATTCACTTAAACTGATACTCATTATACTCATTCATATTGTAATTCACTCACTAACACACACACCAACTCACGCACTCTTACGCACGCACGCACTAATTTATTCATTCACACTCCCACAAATTTATTCATTCACTAATTTAAAACTCACTTTTTTATATAGAGAAGAAATTGGGATTTAGAAATTGTATTAAACATTTAAATGGCATGTTACTACCTGACTGCTTCTGCTTTTTCTCAGCTGATCTATCTGGTACACCCGATATTGACTGTTCTATCCATTGATATACTGTCTGCTCCCCTAGTCCAAGAGTTGACAAAAAATAGTTGTTTACATACGACAATACGCTCTTCATTAATTCTTAGATGGTATGTGAGGGTTCGAGTTCTTCTACTTGGTTTTCCATTTTCAAGTGTAGGTTCCTCCACTGCTTTAGCATTTATAAGCGAGTTTACATATACACGCCTTTCATCCCATGTTGTCATGTTTGTCCAAAAATTAGTAAATATCTCTCTCCTATCTGCTTCTGTTACGGTTTTGCAATTTTTTATATTAGAGGTTTGGCAGCGTGATGAACACCTTTTTTCAGACAACGTCCTTGCGGACTTTTCAACATGGAATCCCCACTTCCCATCCACTTTTTTCATTCCTTTGTATGCATTCCCTGACATACGCAACTGTTTATTACGATGTCTCTGCCTTTCTCCTTTTCCATTTTGTTTATCATTTGCCTTTACAGATTCATTTTCTACGGTTTCTTCATGATCAATATCGTCTTCCGATGGTGACGCGTATTCACCCTCTTCACTAGGATTATAATCTGGGTCATTTGCATCTTTGTCATTATTTATATCTTCATATTCTTCATTTTCTCCTAGATCCAAACATGTTTCATTTTCAACATTTGTTGTAATATCTTTTACACTATTTTTGTCTCTATTGTTTCCAATGAAAGAACTTTCACCTATGACAGAATATGCTTGTTGAAAGTATTCGTCAATCTCAGTTTCTTTACCACCAATCGATTCATCATTAACACCTGCTACAACACTGCCATTAAATTCATCCAATATAGTAACATTTGACTCTTTGCAATTCAGAGAAATATCTAATTCACTATTTTGATCAGTTGCTGCATTGGAACGATCATCAAACACATTTACACTGTTATCAGCGTTTACAATTCCAACGATCTTTTCAATCTCAATGTCAGTCTCAGCATCTCCACTTTGAACAAATATTTCAAGTTCTATAAAATCTTTATATATTTCAGTGTTTGACACCGGTTCACTGTTATCTAAATTGGCGCATGACTCATTGTTTTCTGTTTTCATTGTTGATTCACTGTTTTCAGCACAGATAATCGAATCAATTTTGTTATAGATTACAGATTCACTGTTTTCTAAAGTAGATATTTGCTCACTATTTCCACCATTTATAACTTGTTCAGTCCTTTCTGTATTAATATCTTGTGCCTTTATAACACACAGATTCACTGTCTTCCACACACGTAGACCCGACTTCCATTGATTCATTATTATATTCTGTTTCTGAAAAATTTGGTTTATTACAAATATTTGAAGGTGTCAACTCATTGTAGTTTTTGTTGTTATTATTTATGTCATGGTTAATACTCGTATCAGTCACTTGTTCTTGTTCCATAACCTTTATGAGTTTTAAAAGAGAATTCTGAACCACCATTTTCTTAGCTAACACACGGCTTTCCTTTTGATTGCTTTGAGCAAAAGTTACCATTGTTTTGCCCAGTGGTAACATATTTGAAAAATAGTTAATAATTTACAATTTTTATCCCTGGCTCACAGACTGGACAGTGTATCCCACTTTCTTTCAATGTATCTAAATGTGAATAATTTAATGCTTCATCTGGAAATGTTGGATGAATACATAATAGATGAAAATACCGTTCACAGTCAGCGAACTGACATCGAACATAAAACTGCCCATTTCTAAGAGAAATTAGATAAGGCCCAATGTCAACTACTTTTTCAAGAATATGAATTAACTCATTAATATCTGGTACAAACTGACAAATGTGACACTTATATTGTAAATTATTCAGTTTCTCCCGTTGACTCGGTATCACTTTCTCCAGAATACTGTGACATTCCGCTTAACCGTATCTGAAAATAAAATTAAATCGCCATTATGATTCTAGATGAATTAAAACACCTATTTTTAAGCTATTTCAAAACATCGTATTTCGATATAAAACGGGAAGAAAATGAAATACCAAATAATCGTATCTCGTAAAATCTCGTATCTTGATTGCTAGTATCTGAAAAATGAAATGACAAATTCTCGTATCTCGAAAAATTACATCAAACGTCAGAAATCGAACAAAAATTATCTTTAGCGAAAATTAATATCTTTATTTACGTTTAATTATTTCAAACATTAGTAACGATTGAAAGAATTATATACAGATAAGCAATGAAAATTAATGTATTTTCTCTATCAGCCGCAATAGGACACTTCTTTGAACAGATATGACTAAGCATATTTATTAAAACCTTAAAAAGTAGGTAATTTAGAAAGTACAAAAATAGAATCTACTTAACTTACCGATTTGAATGTAAAAAACAATTTATCCAACGTTCTCCGTCAACATATTGTGAAATTTAAAAGATACGAGGTTTTGACAAAAACAACAAAATCATCCAATCGACACACGAGATTTTGTCACGTGACAATTTTCGCCTTTTCCATTGGTGTAGAGCTACACTATTTTGGGAGACGGTGCGCTGGTATGTTTAAATTTTCGCGGCATCAAAAACCCATTTTGCTAAAAAACCGAGTTACGATATTTTGACCCCCCACCGACGATATATTAAACTTAATTGTGTCAGTGAAATATACATGATATCACACTAGATTTTATCAGTGAGATACAGGTGATATCACCCACTGAAAATCAATTGATTTTAAGGATAAGATTTTTGTTGCTTTTGAAGTATCTCTAAATTCATTCAGTAAGTCATTGCATATAGTGTTTATATGAAAATTGAAGATTTTTTATTATTTTTTTTAAAAAAAATAATATATAGAAATTTTCTCATTTTGCTTTGTGAGCCAGTTTGTAGAAATATTTGAAATGTCTTGCTTTATAGGGAGAAAATTTTCCATTTTCATTATCAAAGGAACTCCACTGAGGTACGAAAGCCTAAAATCACAAAATTTGACTTTCTAACAAGGATCAACTGCAGCACTAAAACAGAAAAATATGCAAAGGATATTTTAGAAATATGCTCTGCGTAAATTGAAAATCATATTATTCTGTTATTTTAGCCTGATTTGAGTGGAAAGAGTTGCAACGTTTTTCTATTTTGGCTCGTTTTCACAATTAGAATAATAATTCTGGAAAAATGGAGCGAGCCAATGATCTGAAATTTCGCGCATAAGTTATTTATAATTGGTCTAGACCTACATCAAATGTAATATTAATCTCCATTAATCTTATTTCCAGGCCCCTCATGTCAAAAAACCTCAGTGGAGTCCCTTTAAGGAATTAAACAGTTGTTTCAGTGACATAAAAATCATATTCACTCAAAATACTTGAAATATTGGTAATTAACTATCACATCCATCGTTTACGTAAGTTTTTGTGTTTGCTGAAATCTATCAGCCTAAAGACAGTTCATTGACTTATCTACATTTGTTTATATTTTTCTATTTAAAATGGTACAATTTAGATGTAACATAAAAGCATTGACATGTAATCAAAGTCAGTAAACTGTATAAACATTCTGTATAAAAAAAAATTTAAAAAAATTGCTGTCATAAGATAAGATTTTTATCCAATTGAGATCATTCTAAAATACCTGTATAAATATCAACCTGCTAAAACTGAAAGTTATACTACACCTTCGCTCCCAGTAAAGAACAAGGTCTGGCAGTTTGACCAAGTTATTGTGATATTATGATATTGCTATCCACTGCTTGGGTAAACAGCTTACAGACATTTGCCCACTACGACAATTGGCCCCTTGGCCCCCAATCTGGAAAAGTCACCATATGACCTTTTTAAAAAGTCAGAATGACTTAAAGCTCAATAATAAGATAAAAAAATGATTACAAAATTGAATATAAAAGAGATACAGCTCATGTAAGTAAAGATTAATGATAACATATATGCAGTAACATCTGGTATCCTATACTGTCTAGCCTACAGCAATGTTTTGATTTATTAGTACTTTCATCCCATTAAGCATTAAGTTTTTATGCTGAAATCTGACGAGCCTGTTCTAATTTGTCAACATAAAATAAAAATAGAAAATCACAATGTTACATTCAAACATGGTACATTATAAATTATACATATACAATGTACATATTTCTCATTTCAAATAATAGTATCAAGTATATCCAATTCTTACTTCTATTGCTGAATTTACGATATACAGCATGTACAGTGTAATGACTGTATTTGCTTTGACTTTGGAACATTCTAGTGTCATCTGAAATGGATTTCTATGGCAACTATAAAATGCTTATTTGGAGCAGTGTACATTATAGTTTTCAGTCAAACTGCAATGATGTGAATTTTCTACCCCCAAAGTCTCCGAATTGAAGACATCACTGGTCTACCGATTTTTTTTATAATAAAGAAATGTATTGATACTATACATGTATATCAATGTTATTTATTGACCGTCTGCTTTTTAAATTTATCAACTTACACTATTCATTTTTTAGTTTTGCTTAACAATGTTTCTCTTTCTAAGTATGGAAAAAGAAATTTTATCTCAGCATATGAAAATCATGAGCCCCCAGATTCTTAAATCAGAAACAGTTTTAAGTGTGATTTGTTTTTAAAATATTAGTTGTTCCTGTGTTATTTGAGTTGTGAATTATTTATATACACTGAATATGCTCAAGATTAACATTATGCCAATATTCTGCCTATTGCTAAAGCATTTATAAGAATTTAACATATTAAACTTTGAGGGAAGCGGTGGGGAAAAAATAAAAGTACTGACGATCACAAAGTTTTACTTGCAAGTACAATCATGACTTGCAAGTTACAATCATGAACTTTCTTGCTTGATTTTAATCATTATTGTCAATAAGTTGTAAGTATGTTGAACCAGTAAATGCTTTCTCTTGCTTGTTATTAGGTTATAGCCAATACTTGCTATTGTTGTAATGTTTTACAATCATAAAGTTATGCATACGAGCTCTTGAACTTAAATTGCAACATCATTATCAATCCATCTCCCACAGTTTTATGTAAGATTTATGAAGTTAGTACATGTATATATTTCAATTTTGTTGAGTTGGCAATTTTTATTATTTTTATTTATATAAATATCGTAAGTGCTACATCTGTGAACAATTTGTTATGACTCATAAGGTGAAAAAAAATGTAAAAAATATGCAGTTTTATGAGAAATGATTCTGTTTGTGTTTTAACAATGCAGGAATGAAATGTTGTCTAGGCTGTGATAAAATCTGTAAGTATGTTAAATTGATAGGCATATGTTACAAAGTGTATAATCAATGCATTAAAAGTGACATTATGCTCATTTCTTTCCATTGTCAAGCTGAGCTGAATTGTCTATGTTTTTCATAGGATTGACTGCATTAATGGAGATTGACCAACTGTTGATACTGGAAAATGTTGTTGTGTAGCCACTGCTTTTTCTTTAGGATAAAATATCAATTTGTCTAAATATAAAAAAGACTGCCCCACACTTTTTTATGAATTGAACGCTATGGGTAAATTTATATGGATACTAACCTAGAACTTTTCTTGGGTCACATGAGTTATTTATAATTCATGCAAAGGATATTATAAAACTGAAAGGTATTATGACAAAATGTAAACTTATTTTGCCTTTCACCTGTTCACTCATTAGATACATTAATATGTGCATAATGACACTTTAAGAACATCTTTAAAGGGACTCCACTGAGGTTTTTTGACATGGCACCTCAGGAAATAATTTTTAGAAATAAATATTTCATTTGATGTAGATCTAGACCAATAATTTGTGTGGAAAATTACAGACCATTGGCTCAATCCATTTTTCCAGAATAATTATTTTTATTGTACAAAATGACCTGAACTTGAAAAGTGTTGCAACGCTTTTCACTCAAACGGGCTAAGAATAGCACAAAAATATAATTTTCAATTCATTTCTCAGTTTATTTCTTAATTATCTTGAGTGTATTTTCCTAATTTAAGTATACCTGCTGATCTATGTAACAAAATTAATTTTTGTGTTTTTATGCTTTTAATAAAAAACTTAGTGGAGTTCCTTTAAGGCTTATACAATGTATAATACTTGAGCCTGCTGGCGTCAACTAAATCTATCCATGCGACCAGTGCAGACCATGATCAGCCTGTACATCAGGGCCTTCCTATCATGGTCTGCACTGTTTGCAATTCAGTCAGAACTTATTGTTAAAAATTTTCTGAAAAATGTTGATTGCTTTTGTCCAGATTTGAATATTAACAGGACCATTTAAGATACTAAGCATTGGTTATATTTTGTTTTTGCCTTCTTTCTCTTCA